CCAACACCATCCTCACCACTGCCTCCATTTCACAAAATATGAAAAAGTGTAGAGCCTGGCATAGGTCTCCAGATTCCACCTTGAGTCTAGATTTTCCTACTGTCTCCCACGGTTGATTCTGAGCACACTGGTTTGCTAGATGTTAATATACTACTTAAAAAATAAATTAGGACTCCTGAGTTCAAACAAAAATAAATGTTTTTTTTACTCTAGACATTTTTCAGAGTCTCTAAGGTACCAATAATACTTTGTAAGCCTCCAGGGGAGCATTGTTATATGTAGAGTTTCTCAAATTTATTTGGCTAAGAAAGCTTTTTTCCAAAAAGCACCCCAAGGGCACAGGGTTCTGCAGAAGACCTTGGAAAATACCAAACTAGGCCATCTTTCCTCGTGCTATTTCATATTTTTCAGAAACTTGCGTTTAATTGCTGCCCAATAGTCCATTATATGGCTAAGCCAAATTTATGTTTTCAGTCCCCAATGGTTAGACATTGAGATTGGTTCCAATTTTTCAACATTACTAATCATTCTAGAATGAATTCTGGTTACTTTGTGATCATCTCTGATTGTTCCCTTCAGAAGTGGAATTGTTGAATCAAAGCATATGAATGTTTTCAATATTCTCAAAATACATTGTCCAGTTGCTGAAAGCGTGGTCAGGGTTATTTAGCATCCATCTGTCAGAGCTGAGGATCTAAAGAGCTCGAAGGCCATTCCCTTCTCTCTTATCCTCTAGACAGTCAGCAATTAAAAAACAAGCATTCACCCTGGCTGGTGTGGCTAAGTTGGTTGAGTATCACCCCATAGATACCCCATCTGGGTGCATGTGGGAGACAACTGATTGATGTTTCTCTCTCCCTGTCCCTTCTTCTTTCTAAAATGAATAAGAAACATTAAAAAAAAACCCCACAAACAAACACAAGCATTCACACATACTAAGGACACAAACAGCCATNAAAACATTAAAAAAAAAAAACCCACAAACAAACACAAGCATTCACACATACTAAGGACACAAACAGCCATTTCTTTTGAGGAGACAATTGGCTTTTCACAATTCCCTGTGCTTCTACTAAAAAATTAAATGTTATCTAGGAGTTCTCTGAACACTTTAATTTGGTATTACAGATACTCTGTTTGATAGTTAGGGAAGAAAGGATTTTTGAATTGGCATCTGTTTTGCTAATTTTCAAATAACCTTTCAAGGTGAGAGTAAAAAAATTCTATCAACTTCCCGTGATTGTGAAATTTGTTTCTGGAAGAAATCTTTTATGGGAGTGTTTTGTCAGTGCTCTGACCCCGTGGAAATTGAATTATGTCTGTTGAGTATTGAGGCTGATTATGGTGCTTTTGTTCTGTTTGTATGGGGGAAGGTATGCACATTGTAGGTTGGAAGTGATTTATCCTATTGTCCTCCACAAATATTATCCTTTGGTCAATTATTACTGGGGTTTAGAACTGAGATGTGAACTTGAAGTCATTAAAACTCCCAAGTCCCCGGCAATAAAGTCGTTTAAGTGGCTTCACCAACAGATTTATTTCAAGATGATTCCATTTGGAGGAAGGAAAGAACAAGTAATGCATTATATACAAAGATCTATTCAATAATTCATGAGACCAGCACACCAGTGACCATTTTAGATTCAGTCCATGGTCTTATAGCTGAAAATGAACTCTGTCTTAGAAGATAGCCACAGTTTGTTCCTCTTTGTGCTTGAGTCCACAAGTACCTTGATTTTTGAGATATAAATTTTGTACTGACTCTATTTGGTGTGTTTAAATGGACCATTCTTATATGGAGGCTATTTTGAAAAAATGGACATCTTATATAATTGGGCTAAAAGGACACTTTATATGCAAGGCCTACCTTTAGTGTTTCAAAAATTGCTTTTTTTCCTCTGTTTGGGCAGAGTTTTTTATTTTGTTTTCTACATGTGGAGTGAATTGCTGAAGGATGGATTAAAATAGTTTTATTGATGCCTAGTATTATAATAAGCACAGTGTTGGGCAGTTGGTGACTATGGAAAGGCACACATGGTAAATGGCTTGCTGTCCTCCAGTGAGCCCTGGCAAGTGGCCCAGGCCCTTCAGCTGGGAACTCCTGAGTTCATCTTGAGCTCCATCCAGCCTGAAAACCACAGAGGTACCAGGGCAGTTTCTTTTTAAGGTGGCGATTTGCATTAGGGCATGGAGTTGGGCAAGAGTTGCCTGCTTCCTTCTACTCAGTGAGAGCCACACTGACATTCTTCAGAGCAATAAAAGGGAAACCTTGGGAACTGATGTGGTTCAGATTTCCAAATAGGATCATTTCTGTTTGGCAAGTAATTAATTATTCCATGATAAGTATTGGGCGGGAAGTAAAAATGAATGAGTGATGGTTTTGTTGTTTACTGGAAAAGCTTCAGGTTCCTTCCTTCCTTCTTTCCCTTCCTGTCCCCTCCCCTACTCTCCAATAAAAATGACTACTTTTAAAAACTTAAAAAACATTTTATTTAAAAATCATTGTAAAAATTTATACTATTCAGACTCCTGTGAGGAAAATGTACAAATCACTAGATATCCCACTGTTAACATTTTGAGAAACATTATGTTATACTTAGACACACAGACACGCACCCACACACATTTTACCCTGAATTATATTATGCTGCATATGCTACTTTGAGTCTATGTTTTTTCATTTAACAGTATGTCAAGGGTACCTTTTCCTATAAATAAAAACCCTCATCATAATTTTAATTGTTGTGGAATATTCCCTTACAAACATATACCACTAGTGAATTCTCTATGATTAACCTTTAGGTTGATTTCAAATGCCTGCTCCCACGCGCAGCAGAGATGAGTATCTTTGTGTGTGTGAAGATCACTCCAATATATGCTCCTATAAGTGGAATTGCTGGTTCAAACAGTACACACATTTAAACTTGATATATATTACCGACAGTGGCATTGAAAGAATGTCTTTCTTTTTTAAAAATAAAACATATATATTCCAGGTATCCAACATGATGATTTGATGTATGTATACATAGTGAAATGATTACTATAGTCAGTGTAATTAACATATCTTCTTACCTTTTTTTAGTGATGAAAGCACCTGAAATCTAGTTTCTTGGCAAATTTCAGGATTTAACATAATAGTATTAACCATGGTCATCATGCTGTAGATTGCATCTCTAGAACTTATTCATCTCACATAACTGCAAACTTCGTCCCTTTTGACCAGCATCTTCCGTCCTTCCAGCCCCCAGCCCCCAAGCTCCTCGAAATCACTGTTCTACTCTCTGCTTCCATATATTTGACTTTCTTAATTCCATATATAAGTGAGATCGTGCAGTTTTTTTCTTTCTGTGTCTGGCTTATTTCACTTAGCATGATGTCCTGCAGGTTCATCCATGTTATTGGAAATGGCAGGCACTCCTTTTATAAGGCTGGATAATACTCCATAGATACACCACATTTTTTTTATCCATTCATTCGTCAATGAACGCTTACATTGTTTCCATGTCTTGTTCACTGTGAATAATACTGCAGTGAACATGGGAGTTCAGATATCTCTTTGAGGCACTGATTTCATTTCTTTTGGTTATGTAATACCCCAAAGGGGAATTGCTAGGTGATACAGTAGTTCTATTTGTAGTTTTCTGAGGAACCTCCATACTGTTTTCCATAATGGCTGTACCAATTTACATGCCCATCAACAATTTATAAGGGTTCCCTTTTCTTCACATTCTCACCAACATTTGTTACCTTTTGGGTTTGTTTGTTTGTTTGTTTGTTTTGATAACATCCATCCTAATAGATGTGAGATGATATTTCATTGTGGTTTTGAATTGCATTTCCTTGATCATCAATGATGTTGAGCATCTTTTTATAAGAAGGTCTTAAAATACATTCCCGCCTGGCCAGTGTGGTTCAGTGGTTGAGCATCGACCTAGGATCCAGGAGATTGTGGTTCGATTCCCAGTCAGGGCACATGCCCGGGTTGTGGGCTCAGTCCCTAGAGTGGGGCATGTGGGAAGCAGCCGATCAATGACTCTCTCATCACTGATGTTTCTGTCTCTCTCACTCCCTCTCCCTTTCTCTGAAATCAATTAAGATATATTTAAAATAATAATAATAATACATTCCCATGTAGCTTATGAGAGTGCCTCCCTTACCAATTCCACAAAGACTGGATATGATACAATTTTCAAATATTTAATAAATTTTAAAAAATCCTCATTATTGCTTTCATTTTATTTTATTATAATTGGATATATTTTAAAATATTCATTGGCAATTTATATATCTTCCTCTGTGATTTATCTACATATATCCTTTGTCCATTTTTCTGTTGTGCTGAATTATCTTTTTCTTACTGACTTTCAAAACCTCTTCAAATATATTCAAAGATACATTCTTCAAAATATACATAACATCTGTATGTATCCTCAGAATAATTATCCTGCTTAGGGATAAATGATTCTAGTGACAGTGAGACTGGCTTTGCTCACATTCTGGAAAGGAGCTCCTCGCTCTCACCGTTTGTCACGCGGGGGAGGGACGCAGCCGTCCACGCCTGAGGGCAGTGCCGAGGTGCCCTTGCTGCAGTGTTCCTTATTAATGGCGCAGGGAGGGTCTTGTGATCTGGGCAGTCTCCTCTTTTCTTCTCCTTGGCAAACTTCTTTTTCTTGTTGCTGTCTAATTCTAATAAGATTGCCCTGGGTCAACCATATTAAATAAGTGATGAGCAGTAGAGAAAAGACAATTCATAGGATATTAACATTTAAAATAAAATTTATTTTTGGCCTTTGCCCAAGAGTGAATTTCATGGTCTGTAAACCATAAGCATATGTATTGTTAAGGAGATAAATTTATATCTAATCTGAACCCTGGGAAAATTTTAGGGGGAATTCAGGGATCTTCTTGGGGTAATGTAAGCTAAAGTTTTACATTTAATTTGAGATTGCATAAAATGTGTTCACTCTGGCCTGAAACTGTTCATTGTTCCTAAACAGTTCCATTCGTTGGCTCCCATGTACTATCGTGGATCCGCTGCAGCTGTCATAGTGTATGATATTACCAAACAGGTAAGAAAGTCCCCTTTATATCTTAGATGCCATTTATGGTGATTCTCTCTCTTAGAAAGACCAAAGCAGAGATTTCACTGCTTGAATCTTGACAGTAGCCTGGAATGAGATTTCATAATGTGGTTGTCGAGGATAATGAACACTAGATATTGAGTTTATTTCATCTGTATGTAAGGAAGCATTTCAGGTTTATCTGCTAAATTAAATGAACAACAATGAACATTCATTTTTAAGACTGACTGTCTGTCTGTAGAGGCAAGGTCATACTTGCTGGTACTGTTCTCCAGAATGTCCGCTTTTTAGAAAAAGGGAATTTATTTTTAAGTTTTGCATGCTTTACAATTATAAAACAGTTATCTTCTATTAGTGTTTCAGTCACACTACATAAAAGGCCAAGGAGAATGTTTATGTATGTATGACATGTTTGTGTACATACAATGTAGGTGTAGTTTTAGTGATCACATTGAGGATGCAGGATATCAACCACTGACCGCAGTGGTTTGCTGAGACTTTTTCCCCACTGCTGGAGTGCTGAGTCAGTGCACAGGACTGCTAGTTTAATGAGTCATCACAGTTTCCATCTGTGAGTTCCTGACCGCGTTTACCTAGACGTGGTGTCTACCTTGCTTGGCTTGTTTCCTGGAGGACGATTGTGAGTAAAGGACAGAAAGGAAAACAGACTCTAAAGTGTGTGTGTGTGTGTATTTTTACTTTTCTGAAGTAAGCATGAACATTGTCTTAGTCCTAGGACGTTGTCCTTTTTCATGTTAAGTCAAGGCTATAATCTTTTTTTTAGATTTTATTGTGTTTTTTAAATTTTTAATGGAGCTATTATTACTTTTTAAATTAAATGTATTGGGGTGACGTCGGTTAATAAAATTATATAGGTTTCAAGTGCACAATTCTGTGATAGAGCATCTGTATATTGCATTGTGTGTTTACCACCCAAAGTCAAATCTTCTGTCACCATTCACCCTTTCTCCCCCCTCACCCCCCGTCCCGTCCCTCGGTGCCTCCATGCTGTCGTCCATGTCTGTGAGGGTTTTTATTTCTTGTTTGATTTCAGTTTTATTTTATTTTTTTGCAGAAATATTTTTATTACATTTATTGGGGTGACATTGGTTAATAAGATTATATAGCTTAACTTTATCAAGTTTCTGTTTTAGAAAAGGGAACCTTTTATAGTCTATTTAAGTATAATTTAGCTAGTATTAAAATTTGTGCCAAGAGAAGGGTAGTTTATCGATCTGTGTGAGCTTCCTGAAAATATGTTTCTCTGTTTAGGGTTTGATTTCTGTTTGGTTGAAATACTGTATATAGGATTATGCATGAAAGACACAGGGTTATGTGCATAGTGTTGTGTTATGAACCCGGAACTCTAGTATGTTGATGGGTCTTTCTAATGCTTGGTTTATACTTTGGATTTAGGACTCATTCCATACCTTGAAGAAGTGGGTGAAAGAACTGAAAGAACATGGTCCAGAAAACATTGTAATGGCTATCGCTGGAAACAAATGTGATCTCTCAGATATCAGGTAAGATGCATTTAAAATTTTTGGTGTGTAGTTAATGTCCTCCATCCCTGAATGTCTATGTGTAAAAAGCTGTCATGCCTGTGTTATTTTCAGTGTAATAATTTAATCAATGGTCATTTACTGTGGTGGTCAAAGTGATATTTATTCAACCAAAGTAGAATTAAGGGAAAATAGTAGGAAAATGCAAATCTGATAGACCACACAATAATGAATATTAAAATTAAATCTCCTATACACAGCACAATTTCATCCCTGACCCTAAATGTCTTTGGGCTACATGGTTTTATTTTATTATTACCTTTTCTGTTATTATTGTCATTATTACTATAATCACCATTTTAATAACACTTTCATCTGGTAAAGAGAGTTACATTCTTTCTTTCTTTTTTGGTAATCGTCACCCAAGGCTATGTTTTTATTGAGGAAGGGAGAGGAAGAGAGAGAGAGACATCGATGTGAGACACATTGATTGGTTGCCTCCTGTACACACCCTGACCGGGGATCGAACCCGAAACCTGATACGTGCCTTGACTGGGAATCAAACCCTGGACCTTTCGGTGTATGGGACGACCCTCCAACCAACTCAGCCACACCCGCCACAGCAAGAGTTAGATTATTAACATTTCCCATACATCCTTGTTTGTTTTATTTCTAGACTTAAGGACATAATGAAGTCTATATAATCTCACTGTTTTGTTCTAAGATCTGAATAGGATGTGCCATGTATGCACACTTTGGCTTGTTCCAGAAACACTGGCTTGTGGAATTCCTTTACCTGGAGAGGTGGTTGTAGAGATGCAGTCCACATGGGCTGGAGAGTTGATGATAACTCTATCTAGCCTGATAAGCTACTTATTTTTACTCAATAAAAATGTTATGAAAGAAGATAGAGAATTTGTGTTGTCTCCATTCCCTTGGTTAATTTAATTCTCAGCAATTCTAGTAGTTGATTTTCATAAAGACAACGACATCATGCTTTGGATTTTGCTAATCCAGATGTGATTAAACCAAAGTTAAGTAACAATGAAAATAGATCTTGCAAAAGCTCTTAACATGTCTTTCGACAAATTGCTCTGTTCTTTGGGATTTCAGAAGCTTTATATGACATTGCATCAGGTTGGTTTATAATAACAGCCATCAACACAACTTAATCATTTGTTTCTCTGGGGGCTGGACAAATATTTAAATTCCCCAGACTTAGTTCAGATCCCTGCCTTCTTTACTGTAATCCAAAAACAGTTTACTCATCTAGTATTTCCAGCAGAATTGCTTTAACTTTTGTCATTAGAAGGGGGTGGTGTGGGTGGGGAGAGGTGGACTTTGCTGAAAGAAGGCGCTACCTCTGACACCACTGAACTGCGGTAAAAGGTGTGACTTTAAGTGAGCTAAGCCTTGTGTATTGTGGCAGAGCTGATGACTAGAATCTAAGCAGAAAATGATTTAAACTTGAATAGGATTATTAGGACTCTTGGTTACATGGAACTGAAACCCAATTGAAATTAATTTTAGGAAAAAGAACTTAATGGGAGGTACTGGTATGCACACGGTAAATACCAGGGCTCACCTTTAGCTCTGGTGTGCCATCTGTGCCAACTTTCGATCCTCGCACTCGGTTTCTAGTCTGAATTGCCACGGAAGGATTTCCCACATCATGATAAGGCANCACCTTTAGCTCTGGTGTGCCATCTGTGCCAACTTTCGATCCTCGCACTCTGTTTCTAGTCTGAATTGCCACGGAAGGATTTCCCACATCATGATAAGGCATTTGTGGCCAAGGGAGGGGATTTGGGTAGTATAAAATTATTTTTCTCACCATAACTATGAGAATGGGAGGGTGACTAATTTGGAAGAGGGTCAGTTTCTAGTCAAGTACAGTCTGGGCAGACAAAACATGTCTGTGACATGTTGGCTTGACTACTGGCACCTAAAGACACTGTTTCTGAGGGCGAAATCCAGCTTTTCTGCACTGGTATAGGGTTCTCCTCAGCAGGCCTTCTGCTCTGTGCTAGCCAGTTCCTCTGTATACAGTTTTCAAAATGCATAGTCCGTCCATCTCACCCCCAACCACAAATTTACTCACAGCCCATTCATCCCCAGTGGGAGACAATTCAAGACCACATCCAGTGGTGACATCATGGGGCCACTGTCACACGAGTCCTGGTTCTCGGAGTGATACCCTTTCCTCTCTAGTTTGGCCTCAGGTCTGAATGTGGCTTCTCTAGATGGAATATGTATCTTTTGTTACACTCAAAGTGACTTCAGATGCTGCCTATTACTGAATCATGCAGGAAGAAACGATTCCCTTTGCAATTCTCCTTCAAACCTCTGGTTAAGTCAACAAAAACTAGTTTGATGCTAGTAAATATAAAATTTTAAAACATTTATTAATATGTAGTTTAAAATTTTAATATATTTTATTGAGATAATTTATAAACCATAAAAAATGCACCTATTTTAAGTATCTAGGTCAATACATTTTAGCATATTTATAGAGTTATGCGGTCATTGTGACATCTAATTTTAGAACATTTCCATCCTACGAAGAAACATCATGCCCATTTATAGTTACTCCCAGTTTCATATCATTTTCTCTTGTGCTCGATTTAATCTCATGCCCTTGTGTACAGTGCCGTGCTGTACAGGCCTGTACCTAGGAGCACTGGGCTGCGCCATGTAGCCTAGGTGTGTCGTAGGCTGTACCACCTAGGCTTGTGTAAATGCCCTCCGTGGTGTTTGCACTATGGAGAAATCACCCATTGACACATTTCTCAGAACCTATCCCTGTTGTTAAGCAGCCCATGACAGTAGTTGTCTGCAGAAGGCCCTTAACTTTAGACCCGCTTTTTCTGTCTCTCTGTCTCTCTGTCTCTCTTTCTCTTAAAGGGAGAATAGCAAGTATAAAAATAAGTGTTAAAAACTTATTAGCCTCAAGCTCACATGGAACATTCTCCAGGATAGACCAAATACTAAGCCATACAGTAAACCTCAATGAACTTAAAATAATTAAAATCATACAAAGTATGTTTTCAGATTACAATGGAATTATATTAGAAACCACCAACAAACACATGAGGATGGGGGAAAACTGGATCACTCACACATTGTTGGTGTGAATGTAAAATGGTGCAACCACTTTGGGAAATAGTGCAGCAATTTTTTTTTAAAAAACTAAATATGCAATTCCCATATGGCCCAGCAATTGCACTGTTGGGCATTTATCCCACAGAAATGAAAACTTGGGTTTACACAAAACCTGCACATGAGTATTTGTAGAAGCTTTATTTGTAATTGGCCCAAACTGGAGCCAGCCCAGATGTCCCTGAGAAGGTGAATGGCTACACAAACTGGTGGGTCCATGCCATGGAATATTACGCAGCAATAAAGAGAAACAAGCTGGTAGTGCATGCAACTTGGGTGAACCTCCAGGGGAATTATGCTGGGTGAACACAGCCACTCCCGCAGGTTTCATAGTGTCCGACTCCAGATGTGTGGCACTTCGACGTGAAGACATTGTAGACACAGAGGACAAACTAGTGGTTGCCAGAGCTGATGGCCGGGGCAGTGTCGGGGGAGAGGGAGGAGGGGCAACACGAGGGGTCCTGTTAATGTTGGAACGGTTCAGTATCTTCTCTGTGGTAGTGGACACGCAAACCTACCCAGGTGATAAAATGGTGTAGAACTTTACACACACACACACACACACACACACACGAGTACCAGTAAAATTGGGGCAATCGCCCTGGCTGGGTGGCTTAGTTGGTTGGAGTGCCGTCCCATATGCCAAAAGGTTGCAGGCTGGAGTCCTGGTCAGGGGACATACCTGGGCTGCGGGTTCTATCCTTGGTTGAGGCCTGTATGGGAGGCTACAGATTGCTGTTTCTCTCACATCTATGTTTCTCTCTCTATCTCCCTCTCCCTTCCTCTCTCTCTAAAAATCAATAAAAACATATCCTCAGGTGAGGATTAAAGTAAAAGAAACTGGGGAAATCTAAGTAACATCGAGTGAATCAATCAATGGCAATATCCTGTTTGTGACATTATACTATAGATTTGCAAAATGTTGCCATTTGGGGAACCTGGGTAAAGTGTACAAGCAATCACTTGGTATCATTTCTTATAACTACATTACATGGGACTCTGTAATAACCTCAATAAAAGTTTCAATGAACAAAAAGCTGATTGAGATAAAAATAATAACTGAATATTAAAACAGTGGTATATGTGCAGATATATATATTCACAATATATATGCATGTTATATATATATATATATAACATACATATATATATGATTAAATAGAGTTTTGTAAACATACTGGGCCAAATGATGAATTTATTCCCAGAACATACAATGTACAAAAGGAAATTTGGGTAACTTTATTAAAAACTCCCATTTAGGAAAGTGGGGAAGGGGAAGCCTGATGGATTGGTCCTTGCCCAGAGAGACTATAAACTTTCTCCCACTCCAGAAGCATAGTCTGGTAAATGATAGGACCTGTGACCCTAATGGGCATCTGCTTGTTGACACCTTTCCATGGCAGTGGAATCAGATTCTTGGTCACCCAATCTGGCTGCTCCAGATTCTGCCTGCTGGTACGTCTTTTTCTGGGGAGTTAGCCAAATCTCTGCACTCCAAACCGTATTTAGAACTTGACCTTCTTTTACTCTACTCCTAAAACGCTTTGTTTTCCTGTAATTGTCAGACACTATATTTTTTGTTGGGGGTTGGAGAGGGACAGTATCTAGGTTTGGTTGTGTATGTGAGTATGCATGTGTGTCTGTGTGTGCGTATGTGTCGGTGTAACCAGTCTCATCTAGCAGACTTTAGCTGTGTCAACAGCCAAAGCTCCTTAAGGGGAGCTTTGTTTTGTTTGCCTGTTGTGTTTTTTGTTTGTTTGGTTTTTTTTTTTTTGAGAGGGTACTGGAATTTAAATGGAATTAACTCCCTGAACTTGACTCGGCCCACTAGAGGCATTTGTATGCAGAAGTGCCTTGCAGAG